TCCTCTTCCAGTGGTTGGAATTCTTACTAAACTGCTATCCTTGTACCCCGTTGTATTTTGTATCTACCTCTGGCTAATGGGTTCCTGATCAGCCTAGAGCAGGGGTCGGCAACCTATCAGAAGTGGTGCGCCGAGTCTTCATTTATTCACTCTAATTTAAGGTTTCGCGTGCCAGTAATACATATTAACGTTTTTAGAAGATCTCTTTCTAGAAGTCTATAATATAGAACTAAACTATTGTTGTATGTAAAGTAAATAAGGTTTTTAAAATGTTTAAGAAACGTCATTTAAAATTAAATTAAAATGCAGAGCCCCCCGGACTGGTGCCGGGACCCGGGCAGTGTGAGTGCCACTGAAAATCAGCTCGCGTGCGTGCCATAGGTTGCCTACCCCTGGCCTAAAGCCTGCAGTCTGGCTGCTGGGATGGCAAAGAAACTTTTTCCACTAATGTCCCGGCCACTCTTCAGGAGCCTCATAGTTCCTAGGGTTGGGATGTCTGTTACTCTACTTACCCAGCTATTTTCTGGGTTCACCTTGCCTCTGATCCTCTACAGATGCCAGAGGCTCCCCCATCAGCAATTGCAATATTTGTCCTTAATGGCCCAGCAATAGTGGAAATTATTCTGGGTGTCAGAAGAACAGCTGTTGAGAGTGGGTGAAATTAAGTCAGTAAAAACAGAAGGAAAGCGATTCCTTGCTGTACCTTCTATCCCTTTCCTCAAAGCGTAGCTGTCTAAGGCCTTGTCTACATGCCAAAATTGCAGCAGCTTAACTTAAATTGATTTTAAACAGGCTTAGCTAAATCATTGTAAAGAGAAGGTTACTCACTGTGTACAGTAACGGAGGTTCTTCAAGATGGTTGTCCCTGTGGGTGCTCCACTTTAGGTGTCTTGGCACCCTGCACTTCTAGTCGGAGACTTGTGGTAGCAATGTCCCAGTTGACCTCGCACACGCGGCCATTATCCAGTTTTCTCTACCCCAGAGGATCGAACAGAAACTCTGAAGTAGAGTGGAGGAGGGTGGGTAGTGGAGCACCCCCAGAGATAACCATCTCCAAGAACCTCAGTTACTGCACAAGGTGAGTAAGCTTCTCTTCTTCTTCAAGGAGTGTCCCTGTGGGTGCTCCACTTTAGGTGACTGAAGAGCAGTGCCCCTCAGTGGAGAGGAGGGGCTTCGGAGTCGGTGTATGTACGGTGAAGAGCACTGATCGTCCAGAGTGAGCGTCTGCAGCTGACTGCTGCTCCAGGGCATAGTGGTTGGTGAAAGTATGGGGCGATGCCCATGTAGCTGCTTTACAAATGTCAGTGATGGGTACATGTTTGAGAAAGGCTATGGATGTGGACATCGCACACACTCCACTAAGGCTAAGTCCAGAAGGAGCTTGCAGATTGTAATTTTGGTAACATAATTGGATACAATTAGAGATCCATTTAGAAAGTCTCTGTTTGGAAATGGTTTGGCCTCTTGAGCGTTCTGTTGTGAATACGAATAGCTGGGAAGATTTTCTGAACGTTTTTGTTCTCTCTATATAGAACGCTAGCGCTCTACATAGGTCTAGCATATGAACGGACGCCTCCCTGTTGTTGGCATGTGGCTTGGGGAAGAATACAGGTAAGTAAATGGGTTTGTTGAGATGGAAGAGGGAGGCGACCTTGGGTATGAATTTAGGGTATGGGCATAGGATGGACTCTGTCCTTGAGGAACATGGTATAAGGGGTGTGTGCCATTAGGGCACCCAACTCTCCCACCCTTTGTGCTGATGTGATAGTTACTAGAAAGGCAACCTTCATAGATAAGTGCAGGAATGAGCAGATCGCTAGGGGTTCAAAGGGTTTGCCCATTAGGGCACGGAGAACGAGGTTGAGGTCCCACATAGCGGTTGGGTCCCTTAATGGGGGTAAGTGTTCTCTATATCCTTGAGAAAACGTTTAGTCAGTGGATGGGTGAAAACAGTGAGTCCGTCCACCTTGTTGTGAAAGGTGGTGACGGCTGATAAGTGCACTCTGTGTGAGCTAGTCAAGAGGCCCGATTTTTTTTTTTTAGTGTCAATATGTAATCAAGGATAGTGGGTAATGGGACCGATCATGAAATGATTTGCTTGTCTCTGCACCAGACGGAGAATCTATTCCACTTGTGTGCATATGTTTTTCATATGGAGAGATGTCAGCTGATAAGTAGAACGCCTTGGACCTCTTTGGAAAAGCATGTTTTGAGTTCTGTCATCCCTGGATTAGCCAGGCCTTGAGACCAAGTGTTAGAACATTGGTGGGACGGAGGCATCCTGTATCCTGGGTCAGTAGGTGAGGCAGGAGGGCAAGGGTTCATGATCGGACACGACTCAACGGGGAGATCGGGGGGAAGGCGTACAGGAGCAGGGCCTCCCATTTGATAAGGAAGGTGTCTCAGAGAGTTGTGTCCCAGTCCCGCTCAGGAACAGTATTGTGGGCATTTGGCATTGTGGGTCATGGCAAAAAGGTCTATTGAGGGGAATCCCAGTTGTCGGAATATAGTTTGCAGAATTTGTGGGTCTAGTTCCCACTTGTGCGTCTGAGAAGTTCCTGCTGTGGCCGTCTGCTGTGGCATTCTGGTTTCCAGGTAGGTAGGATGCCATGATGTGTATGTTGTTGGAGATGTATTACTGCCAAAGGTGAACTGCTTCTGTGCAGAGCAGTTAAGATCATGCCCCTCCTTGGTGATTTATATAAAACAGTTGCCAAATTGTCCATGAGAATCTGGACAGTTTTGTTGCAGATCAGGGGGAGAAAGTGATGGCAGGTGTTTTGAACTGCTTGGAGCTCCAGTAGATTTATGTGGAGATTTGACTCCTTTAGGGACCATCAGCCCTAGATGATGATGTCGGCCAAGTGTGTCCCCCCTGTCCTACCAAAAGAGGCATATGTGGTGATAGTGACTAATGGGGTTTCCCATTGGAAGGGAACGCCTAAGCAGACGTTTGTTTTGTCCACCATGTGAGCGAGTCTTTCACTCTGCTGGGCATTGTAAGCCGTCTGTTGATCGAGTGTCTGAGGAATGTATACAGTGCGTAGCCAGGTTTGTAGACTACTCATATGCAGCCTGGCATGTTTCACAACAAACGTAGTAGCCGTCATGTGTCCGAGAAATTGTAGGCATGTTCTGGGGGACGTTTGTGGGCTTACTCTTACTGTCTTACTTGTCAAATGTCTGAAATGGGCCATCTTGATTATCACTACAAAAGTTTTTTCTCTCCTGCTGATAATTGCTCATCTTAATTAATTAGCCTCAGAGTGGATATGGCTACTTCCACCTTTTCATGTTCTGTATGTATATATATCTCCTTACTATATGTTCCATTCTATGCATCTGAAGAAGTGGGCTGTAGCCCATGAAAGCTTATGCCCAAATAAATTAGTCTCTAAGGTGCCACAAGTACTCCTGTTATTAATAATAATATAACATATGGAGGTATACCTATCTCACAGTACTGGAAGGGATCTTGAAAGGTCATTGAGTCCAGTCCCCTGCCTTCACTAGCAGGACCAAGTACTGTCCCTGACGGGTTTAACAGGCCAATGCTCAAACCACTGAGCTATCCTTCTCCCGGGATTAGGTTTGTTAAGGCAAGAAACTGTGGTTGGGGTAGCCGTGCTGAAGCTGTGACACAGTCGAGGTGTGCGCTTATGAAGTCTAGTTGTGGGGTTTGGGTCAGGGTGGATTTCTGTAGGTTGGTTTGTAACCCTAGGTTTGTACATAGGGTTAAAGTGGTGTGAGAAGCGTGGACTGCCTTGTCTTATGTTGGTGCTTTTAGCAGGCAGTCATCTGGATAGGGGAATGTGGTCACACCTTGCCTGCGAGGATGTGCTACTGTAACGGCCAATACTTTGAAAAATACTCTTGGAGCCGTGGCAAGGCCGAAAGGAAGTACCTTGTCTTGGTAGTGTAGGTTGCCCCGAGTGAATCGTAGGAATCTCCTGTGTGCTGGGTGGATAGTGACGTGAAAGTAAACGTCCTGTAGGTCAAAGGCCAAGAGCCAGTCTCCTTTCTCCAATGCCAAAATTATGGCTGCTAGGGTTACCATCTTGAAGCGCTGTGTTCTCAAACTTGTTCAGTTTGCGCAAGTCCAGAATGGGCCTCCATGCACCTGTTTTCTTCAGACTGAGGAAGTAATTTGAGTAGAACCCCAGACTCCTGTGCTGAACCAGTATTAGTTCCACAACACCTAATTGCAGGAGATGGTGTATTTCCTGCTGTAACAGGTACTCGTGAGATGGGTCCCTGAAGAGGGACGGGGAAGGGGGGTGGGTAGGTGGAATGGAAAGAAAGGGAATGGAACAGCCCTTCTGTATAATTTCCAGAACCACTTGTCTGAGGTGATGGTTCTCCAGACTGGGTAAAAGGGTGTAAAGCGGGCCCCAAATGGGCTGGAAATGAGAGGTGACTGGATTTAGAGAATGTGGGGCTCTCGTGTCCTCGACCAACACTCAAAACGTTTGTCTAGCAATGGATGGCTCACAGATGTAGACAACTGCTCCAGCATCTGACGGCGTCTCGTCTGGCACTGCTGCAGCGTTGGTCATAATGTCATTGAGGCTGGGTGTATGGGGGAGGGCAGAATCGTTTGTTGTAGAACCTGCCATTTCTTTTTGTTTGCAGGAATATAGATTCCAAGTCTCTTTAGTGTCGCACAGGAGTCCTTCAGGGTGCGTAAGGAGACGTCCGTGCTGCCTGCAAACAATTTTTGCCCCTCAAAACGTAAGTCCTCTATTGTCACCTGAACTTACCTGGAGAAGCCAGAGAGATGGAGCCATGAAGCCCTCCGCATGACAATGGACGGGGCGATGGAATGAGCTGCCGTGTCAGCAGAATCCAGAGAAGCCTGCAGGGCCATTCTGGTGATGAGGAAACCTTCAGGTATATCGGCCTTACATTGTTCTTTTTTGTCAGCTGGGATATGCTCAATAAAAGGTGACATCTGAGAAAAAAAAATGTGTGTACTTGGCCGGTAACGCAGAATAGTTTGCTATACGAAACTGGAGGGTCGCCGACGAATAGGCTCTCCTGCCGAAGAGGTCTAGGCATTTCCAGTCTTTATCATAGGGGGTGGTTTTGGTCTGATGTTGCTTCCCCCCTTTGATTAACTGCCTCTACCACCAATGAGGTTGGGGTAGGGTGGGTAAACAAAAACTCAGCTCCTTTAGCCGGCACATAGTACTTCTTGTCAGATTGCTTACAAGAAGATGGGTCTGTGGCTGGAGTCTGCCATACGGTTTCTGCAAGGTCCATGATGGCAGCATTAATAGGATTGCTATCTTGGCTGACTAAGCAGCTTGCAATAGATGTGTCAGCTTATGTTGAGTCTCTGGTAACTCAGCAAGTGAGATGTCTAATGAATCAGCTATGCTTTTAAACAAATCCTGAAAGGATTTGAAGTAATTTCGCAACATGGGGGGAGGCGGCATTATTGTTTCGTCCAGAGACTAAGTTGGGATCTGGGTAGGTGGGAGGGTGTCACCCTCTGGCCTGTCAGCAGATTCTTCGGCTTTCTCCTCCAGCAGTTCTGGGGAAGCCGGAGCAGATGGCGGAGACGATCGCTGTGTCCTGGACCTGGATTGGAGAGCTGGATGGTCTGGGCTCTGTATAATGCCCAGGGGTCCCAGTATGCCCATTTCTGTCTCCACTTCCTCCTCTTCATCACTGGAGAGAGGAGGGGCCGAGCCAGCGGGTGTAGTGATAAAGCTTGGCCCTGACCTGGCTGGGGTGCTACCATTTCCAAAGAGCGGAGTTCCCAGGTGGAAGCAGTGAGTAGGTCCACCTGGCTGACAAACTGTCCTGGTACCGGGAGGCTCGGTGCTGGCAGTGCAGGCAAACTCAGGCTGGGAATCAGAGGGAGCATTGTCGGTGCCGCAGACTTGCCATATTGTATTGGTGAAGCAAGTGGCGCAATAGCGTTGGCTCTGTGCCTGAGGTTTCTGTTTCTCGGTGCTGAGCTAGGAGGCTTAGTTTTGCTGCTATAAGAGTGAGACTGCACAGGGACTTTTGCTCCTTGGGACGTCTCAGTACTGGACGGTCCCGGTGCCTTGTGGTCTGGCGCTCTGGGTGCTGTCGGTACTGGGGCAGTTTTTGCGGTCAGGGATCGCGTTTTGGAGGCAAATCCTGGTGGGCCAACGCGTGAGACCACTTTTTTGTGGCTTTGGTAGGACCAGGGTCCTTAGCAGCCATTTTTGCAGAGGACCCCATCTCTGAGGCAGCTGCAGGTGAGGACTGGTCAGGTGGTGTCCTGGAGTCAGGGCCAGAGGACTCTCTCCATCATTAAAGGTTTTAATTAGAGGTTCCTGGCCTCTCTTGTCCACACTGAGTTTCTTGCAGTGGGGACACTGTTGGGTAACGTGCGTCTCCCACAGACAACAGACACACTGCGAGCGGCTGTCTGTCACTGGTATTGAAAGTCTGCAGGTCAGACAGTGCTTGAGACCTGGAGAGCCAGGCATATCCAAGAGGTTAAGCTGAATAAAGAATGAGAAATAGTCCCGGTCTAATGCCTCTTCAGCGACTGCCTGCCTGAGGTGGAGAGAAAAAAGGGGAAAGTTTTTTGCTTTTTTTTTTAATGTGAAAACAAAAGAAAATAAATGGAGAGATAAACGAGGAAAATAAGCTGAGAAAAGGGCAGAGATTAAAGGAATATGAGAGCGGATAACGGTGCTGCTCTCATTCTGACCGAAACCAAGGGCAGTAGAGAAGGAACTGGGTAATGGTTGGCTGCATTCACGGGGTAGCTGCTCAGAGTGGCGCAAGCCGGCTGCCACGCATGCACGGCCAACCGGGGCACTGCTACCACAAGTCTGCGACTAGAAGCGCAGGGCGCCAAGACACCAAAAGTGGAGCAACCACAGCGACACTCCTCGAAGAAGAGCCTGTTCCTAATAGACTTAAATAACCCTGCTGTAAACCAAAATAAAGTCCTACACAATCTTTCATGTCAGTTTAACAAAATGTGATGAAAAAAATCACACCTTAAGTTAAACTGATACAGTTTTCATGTAGACAAATCCCAGGACTGTAGCTCTCAAATCACACCTAAAGGAACTGGTTGATTTGATATGTGATTTATAGACTTCCACTTTGTTTCAGAAAGCAGAGTCAGATGGACCCCACAAGACTGACTGCTAGATAATAGAGGTAAAAATGTTTTCTTTAGCCCCCCCCGCCGCCTTTATTAAATTATATCATTTTACTGTTAGTTTCAAAGCAACAATGTGAACCCACGGAGGCCCCAAAATTGAAAATTAATGCAGTTTAGGATACACTGGAAAATGTTATCTGGATTCTAAGTAGCTATTAAAAATGAATGAAAAGACCTACCATTGCACTGCTAAATGTATTAACATTTTACCATTTTCAGTCTGACCAGAAGCTATTTTAGTGGGATGTATTAAAAACCTAAGGTGAAATCTGGGCCCCACTGAGGTCAATGGGAGTTCTGCCATTGATTTCAATGGGGCTAGAATTTCACCTTTAGTATACAGCTTCATCTGACTGATCTGCAACCACATTTAACAAGTTAACATTCCAGTTGACAGTTCCCAAAGTTACTAGCATACAAGCTGAAGTTAAAGGGACACTCAGAGTTTAGGCCATGGATAGATTAAACAGAAACTTTACAAACAAATAGAAATGTTTTCATGATTTTTTTTAAAAGATTTCAATTAAAAGAGCTTCATTTGGATTGAAAACAAACAACATCACTGCACTACAGCATGAGAAACTGGAAGTGAAAAATGACCAATCTAGCTTCATGGTCTATATTGTCTAAGTTGAGGGTGGGAGAGAGGGTGAGGAAAGCAAACTGCTTTTAATACTGTAGTAAAAATTAAATTGGATCTTTTTCTTTACATGAGTTTCAAAACAGTTAAGGGCTAACCACTATCCCTTCTAAAAAAGGAGTAGGTTAGCTATTGAATTATGAGCACCACAGAAAACAATGTTTTCAAAGTGGGAATAAACTGGAGGGGGGGGGGAGAGAAGGAGGGTTGGGGAGAACAAAGTGTTTATTCCCTGGTGCTATTAAAACCCCATAGTTCCATATTCATTTGAGGAAAGATTTCCTTCCATAAGAAAGACAACTAGAATTGGCAAACTGATGCAAAATATTTATTCCAAGTTAGTTATTTTTTGATGCAGTAGTTTTTTCCCCTCATACAGACTCAATGTGATAGTCACCTTTTTAAATCTGTAAATAATGTTATCAAAATAATCTTAATCTTTGAAATCTCACAAAAAAATTTATATTTTACAATCCACCCTGAATATCAAGGCTGCAAGAAGAAGAACACAAACAAGTCCTATGTCCAAATATTTTACAGCTGTACCCATAAAAGAAAACCACAAACGCCTGGTTAAGTGATGAAGCTCCCCGAGCCGACAAAAAAAATAAATAAAAAAAAAGTCATGTTATTAGCATTAATTTAACACAATTAGAACGTCAATAGCCATTTTGTCATTGACAATGATTGTTTTAGCACATTGTTACCGCGCAACATTATGTAATGCGGCGGCATTATTAGACGCTTGTTGTTGCAAAGATCAGTCAGTCACCTGTATCCTGCTTACAAGACTGAACTTGTGCATTGCCTGATGAGGGATTCTCATCATAAATTTGCTAGCTGCACAAACTTCTATTAAGCAGAAGGGCAAAACCAAAAGAAAAAGCTAAACAAGCCAATTTCTCTCTTCTTTGGGATACAATTATTTCCCTTGTGCATGAAGTATTCAACAACAAAAGAAAAACAGACTGGAGACAGAATAAACTCTGTTTAGTTTATACAACCCCAAACACATGTTGAACTATGAACTGAGTTTATTGGGTTGGTTTTGTTTGTTTTAAATGTTTTGTGCCCACTTTCAGGCATCGTCATCTGACGTTTCGCTGCTACTAGTTTCTGTGTCTGAGTCCTCCAACTCTGTCTTAAAAGTGCTTCTCCAGTGGGAGAACAGGCTGGAGCTACGGCCCTGAAGAAATCCATTCTTCCCAAATCCATTTCTTCTTAGCTACAAGGAAGAAACATAAATAGATAAAAAATTGTGAAGAGTCAGGGTCAGAGACAATATACATGTTTGTCAGTATATATATTTTTTCAGTGGGGACAATATGTTTGTAAATTTTTCCCACTAGACAATCACTTTAAATCAATACACAAGTTCTATTTAGTTCTTTGTAATTCAGAACAACAGTCAAAGATGTGTGTGAAATCGGTGAGGAAGAAGCACCATCATTATGGCAAGAGCTGTACTATACCTGCTCTGATTTAAGTTGGAACTCTCTGAGCTCATCCTCAGTGAGGGGAAGGTAGTTCTCATCATTTTCAGGATACTCCTGCCATCCCATTGCTTTCAGTAACCTGAGTCATGAAAAAAGGGGTGAGGGGTTAAAAAGAATCAAAAAGGCAAATGGAAAAGTCAAATTTAACCAGGTGCATGATAAAGTGTGAGATTTTTCTACTCAACTACTACGATCCCTCCAGGAAGGGTTTTCTAGTTTTAGAAAACGCTATATAAATAATACTTTGCATTTAGACAGATAAGGAAGGTAAGAAAGAAGGCTAATGATTAACCCAGGGACACAGAGAAAGTATGTATGGCAGCCGAGAAAACATTAGAACTCAGAATTTCCTTATTCCTGGTGCCCTGATTAAACAGCTAGGTCACACTCCTCTTGCTCACACAACCAGAAGGCATATTTAGACATGCATGCAAGTATCTTCTTCCCACTTCTCATAGCTTTATAGAATTTGGGGCAATTTCTTATCAAATTAGCATACTGACAAAGCAGAGCAGCATTCCAGGAAGAGTTGGGAGGAGAGATGCGGTGATATGTCATCAACCTCTGCACCCCCACATTTGGAAGTCCCTTCTGCAGATCAAGCAGAATAGCACTTGAGAGCCTGCCTGGCCACCTAGTGTGGGAAAGAGCTAAGCCAGGCAGCACTAAATGACTTATGGATGCAAAGCTAGAAGAGTGCTAGAGGGTTAATTACAGAACTTTCTGTAAAATCTTGGCCCCATTGAGCTCAACGAGGCCAGAATTTCACCCCAATATTTTACTTTCTGCCAGCCCCAGTGCCATAAGAAAGCCACACCCCTGCAGCTCAGAATATGCAAGACACTTGTTTTCTGGAGAAAGAATCTTCTAAGCACCTGCCTTTTCCTCACACAATGTGACAAAATGATTTGTGAGACATCTTCAGCGCATGTTCTGCTGTTGCCTCACCTGTGTTCTGCTTCCAGTGAATGAGACAGGTTCTCCCCCTCCTCCATCAAAGGGAGAGAAAGGCCATTCTGATGGCAATTCTCTTCCCAGTTTTCCTTTGGTTCTGGTGTGCTGCTGCCCTCCATCTAAACGAAAAATGTAAGTCAAATCACATCATTGAGAGACTGATCCTTCATGCATACAGCACAGTTCGAGTCTTGAAGCTAGTGTTCTTGAGTGGATGACTCCAGAGAGAATAAAACCCTTTATCTTAAGTCAGTGCTTCAGAGCACGAGTTGGTAATAACAGAAAGCAGTTGCCACCAGACATTGGTGAAGTGAGAGGGGCAAAGTGAGAGTTTGGTGGGCTGCAGTTTAATTTTTAAGGGACAAATGTCCACACCACATTACCACCATTATGGATTCAGAGATGCCAAAGACACTATGCGCCATGGAGACTGCACTCTGACCCTCAGAGGTGCCCTTCTACATTAGGACAAACACTGGCAGAGCGAGGCACCGTCCTACCGGATGTGCAGAGTGTGTTCAATTTGCCAGGTCTGTCACGCCTGCACTTTCACCAGGGCCGAATTCATTTAAACTACTCTGGATCCCGTGTAGATTTTCTCAGTGTACAGTTTGTTGAACAGAAAGTAAACGGAAGTTGCAGTCTTTTTAAACTATGCTACCAGAACTAAGCTATATAAATGGAGATGTCAGTCCTGCAATGATATTTAAAGAGTAAGCATTCTTCTAAAATATTGTTCCTTCCCATTTTTTAGAAAGCCCTCTTAGAATCCTGCCAATTCTAACCAAACGTTGCCCTTTTCCCTTTGCCATATATTTTCATTTTCTTCCTGCATTTCTTTAGGTCAGTGTTCTTCACTGCAAGGCCCGCGAGCCGGTGGCGGCTCCCATCGACCCTAAGTGCGGCTCCCTAAGTTCCCTCTAAGCTGTGTGGCTGTGCAGCAGGCTATAAATAGCCGCACAGCAGCTCTAAAGGGCAGCACAGCAGGGACCTAGAGAGGTAGGGGGTAGGTGGGAACTGTGAAGGGGAGCAAGCTGGGGCTTGCAGGGCTGCTGTGGGCCTCTCCCCTTCCCC